GGCTGGAATAACAAGGGATGAAGGTACGGTGTTACATGGCTAGATGGTTATCAAAAATATAATTTGATTGTCATAAATCTTGCAATCTAAATAGCATTAGACCGTTTTGCTAAATTTCTTGGATCAGCAGACATTAAATATAGTCTGTTTTAACCCGCAAAGGTTTTCACACATTTAAGCAAAATATTAAACTCTAGAACGATACAAGAACCAAGGAACAGTTTACGTGTTTTACCTGAATGCTCAATTTTCTGTTTTTACCCAATGGCAGTGAAAACATAGTTTAAAACGATCATGTGGTATATTATATTGAAAAAGGCGACCTGCCGCTGGGTGAGAAGGAAATGCTCACTTTTCCACAAATACCTGCATCATAAGATTCGGCTAAAGGCATTAATGATGTTGATATATCCTTCAGGGAGGTTTCCTGGTATCATTCATCGTCCTATGTTGATAACGCCAAATGATTTAAAACGGTTTATTAACAATGACTTTGATTTGGGTAAGTATCTTATATAATAACTGAAATCTTTAAGACTGATTTGAACGTTGTGTGTGTATTTAATTCACATTTAATGAAAATGTTACCTATGGGTCTTAAAGCAATGACATACAATCTTGTTGACCGAAAACAGGTTGATAATTTTATGTATCGAAGGTAGATACATGTTAGTAGTATATGTTTTATAGGTATTTGTTTGTATAGTTACATGATAACCCAACAGAGCTGAAAGAAGAGAGTGTAAAAATAATATATTATTGCACTTGAAAATTCAGTTTGGTTTCTCTTTGTAGTTACAAACAGTATCATTGCACACGAGTACTACCCTTGGAATGATCCTCTGGACAGGAAGGCTACTCTTTTTGCATTCGGTGATGTAATATGCAGTAAAACTTTAAGAAACGACCCCACATATCCTGTTAACAAGAGCGCCCAACCATTTCTCTATGGTGGAGAGAGATACAATGTCATTACAGCCTAAGTATGGTGGCATAAGTGTACCCATATTAGAAAAAGTTATTGCGGCTCAGAAACTTTGTTGGATCAAAAGACTATCTGTTAGTAAGTCCAAATGGGCATGTTTCTTTTATGCTCATTTAGTTGAGGCAAAAATAATAAATTTGGCTGATGCTTTCTACATAGAAAACAATATTGTCCAAAATATCCACAACCAGTTTTGGAAAGAAACACTGTTATTATAGGCATCATATTTAAATTGTTGTGATAATATTGAACTATCTGTTACGGATGTAATGAATAAGTCAATTTGGTACAATAATAACATAACAATTGATAATAAGCCAGTATATTTTTCCCATTGGTATGAAAAAGGTATAAACATATATTAACGATGTCTTGAACGATACAGGAAATTGGTTTAATTTCTATGAATTTATTCAAAATGTACTTTGAATACAGACTTTTTTAACATTTCAGGGGTTGAAACAATCTATCACTCATACTTACAAAGAATTAACTTTAAGAGATCTTTCAAAAACCAATATTACCTTATAATATTTCTCAAATCAACAGTACTTCAGGCAGTAGATTATTTTATGACATTTTGCAAAATTCTAAATTTACAAAACTTAAAAGCTATAGCAAATGGGAGCTTTAGCTTAATAAACACATTACTGAAACAGAAAGGATAAATTATAGTTTGATGGCAAGAAGATGTACACAAAGCAGTGACTTAAGATGGTTTCAGTTTAAGATTTTACATAATATTCTTCGCACTTATTGTTATTTATATAAGATTGGCTATGTTAAGTAACCAGCATGTTCATTGTGTAACGATCCAGCTGAAACTATAGCACATGTGCTTTGTAACTGTCAATATGCAATAGATATTTGGACAAAATGTACTGAATGGATTGAAGGATACATGGAAAGTAAAATTCATTTAAGTGAAGAACACATATTGTTTGGATTTAAACGTAAACATAATAATCCTCTTAATGTGGTGATAATAATAATAATGAAATACATGTTGTATAAATGTAGTAAGAAAGCAGTGAAACCCAATTTTATATGGTTTCAAAAAGAAGTATTAAAATATAATGAAATTTCAAAAAATTTTGCTTTTTCTAATTGTAACTATGCAAGTTTTCATTCTTACTGGTCATCCTACCATTTACTTTTTCGAAATGCTATAACTGACTGACTGTATGTGTACTTTGTATATATGTGTACTATATATATAAGAGGTAATGTACACACTATGAATTTACATCAGCACTACTCACTGTATACTTAAAATATGTTTAATTGGAGAACATAAAGCTGCTGTAATGGAAATTGTAACATAAAAATGGCAATTATTTGTTTTTTTCTCTATGGTGGCTTTATGGTAGTTCCTAATCGTTCGTCACCAATGTTAATCAAAGCCTAAACCTATCCATCAAACGAATGAGGGGACAAGGAGGGGGGAGGGGTAGGCATATTGCTTGTGGATATCAGAAGGAGGTTTTATCCCCAGAATCCCCTTTCTTGAACCACCGATTCTGTTTATTTCATTCAAATCTGTGTCCAGAACTTGGATAATCTATTGTCATAATGTTTTAAATTGAATTGATTCAAATCGTATGGTACATAGTATCTATACAGAGAAGAGATACAGTATTACCTGTGTATTCTCTAAGTAGAAGATAGTAGCAGTAGTAGTCGTGACTCTTCCATACCAAATTCTGTGAATATCCGGGTTAGAATTGAAGCAACCTATGCTTGTCGTAAGAGGCAACTAACGGGATCGGGTGGTCAAGCATCGTGTCCCAATTGTGTAGATCAATGCTCACACTGTTGGTTACTTGTCTGCTCCAGTGCGGCGTTAACCAACAAACAGACAAACAAACCATACCAAGTCAGCTCCTACCTTACTGGATGTCTTCCAAATCTAGGCTTTCGGCTAAAACAAAGGAGTCAAAAATGGACAAACCTGTTACTTATATCTAATCTATTTAAAGCGGTTTAATGACGTGATTACATACATCAACTTTTGGACTATACCCATTGATTTTACAGGGTTCTACTCAAAGCCAGGGTAGATTATCGTTGTTTATAGTCAGCTCCTGCTTTAATCTAGATTTGGGGCGATAACGACATAGCTGCTCCTACCTTCGATATAGCTACACGTATCGCTGCCAGGACGGACAACATTTATTTTTATTCATTTGATTATGCATCACCATCTGCCAAAGTGCAAGGTGCGTACATTGTTGACATTGATTTTGTTAAGTGAGTGGTGTATATTTGTTTTTCAGTAGCATATGAATTATAATGGATATTACTCATGAGAGCGAGTGTCAGTGGTTCTGTGAGTGGCTGAATAAGTGATTAGGGTTTAAAACCGCCTTTTAATTTGATATGATCTGTATATAACCCACGAGATTAGAACAAGAAATAACAGAATCTACGAAATGTATATACACTCTTCAAAAAAAGAAGAAATACAGATGCATGAGCCATTATTAGAAGAATGTATTGCGTTAGTTAAGATCAATTATTTTTCATGTTATTTCAATGGTAAAAAAGGTGAAAATTGTTCGCCAACACAAGAGCAGCCTTTATTGTTGTATTTTTGTTCACTTGAGTCCACAAGATGGCTTCAAAGTCAGTACTTTGTATGTCCATCACCGGCACCTTCTCGGCACAGAGTGGATAAGTCGACGAACTCACTGTTGCGGAGTTCTTCCCAACTCTTCCTGCAATGTGATGGCCAGTTGTGGAAGTGTTCTATCGGGTTTAGATCTGTATTGAAGGCGTGGCCCCACTTTATGACGATTTCTGACGTACACCAGAGATGCGCTGTGCAGTCTCCGCGGCTGTAGTAAGATAATGACACAAGTGAGCAGCCCGCATGTAGTGGTGGGCTTGGGTGGTAACTCTTTTACGGCCACTTCTCGGGCGATCCTGGGCGGAATTGATCTGCAGGAAACGATCCCAAAGGCGAGATATGGTGATCTGATGGACGTTGAAATGTCGGGCAACTGCAGACCGCGACTGCCCAGCTTCAAGGCGGAAATGATTCGATTGGCGGCACTCAATAGTGGAATATTTTCTCTTTTCGAGACAAAAACGAATGACAAAATTCAACACAACGTTTGTCTTTTCATAGCGATAGATACCCCTTGCTTTCCCGATTACTTGCAATTTGCTTTGCGCGTTTTCTTGGTGACATTTTGGCGAATATTTCTTCAAACTCTTCTAAAAAGGGAAAAAAAGGTTAAAATTGCCGAGTTTTGGCGAAGAGCTGTTTGTAACCACACAAAGATGACGTTTTGCAAAGAAATAGTATATTTTTATTCTTTTTGTCGCAGCTACATGAGTCCAATATTCTCAAATTCACACATGCGTTTCTGTTTTTTGAAGAGAGTAGATAAAACAACAAGTGGATCGTTCTGATCTGATCTTGGACGAAGCTCATTGCGATCATACACTATTTTGTTCCTTCCTGTAGCTGTCGTTCATGGACGACACCTTTTCTATCTGTTCGGCTGTCATTTCTCTGGGCATCACCTGTACAACTATACCGAGGAAGATCGTCATGTCAGCAAAGTCTTAATGAACATGTGGATCAACTTCGTCAAGACAGGGTGAAGAAATGATCTCCCAGTGAAAATTGCATTGCAGCGTTTCCCCGAAAACAAAGGTTTCAAATTGCGTCGTCTCCTTTTATATTTTTTAGGATGGTTAATTAAACCACTATTATCGTATCGCCACAAGATACTAGTATCTAAATTCTGTTTACAACACAATGTCGTGTGTCGGGTCGTGGGGAAAGTGGTTTCACAAGTCGTTTCTCTCATCCCTATTTTTCTGCTTTTTCTTTTGTTGGTGACTGTCTGATGCTGACAAACATATAGTGTGAGCTGAATAAATAAAGTGAACATTACGTGACTCCATTCTTGTAAATTCATTTAATTTTTTTAAGGAAACCTTCGTCAACTGTCGACACAGATAAGTATACTTCCAACAGTTTGATAGCGAGATTCAAGCATACATGAAAATTGATGGGGTTGATGGGAAGACAACAGTAAAGACAGTTCACAAGCCTCGGGCTCGCCAGATGGCCTTCTGGAATAGTGTGCTGCCACAGATTATTGCTCTCCAATCAAAACCGAAACAAACTGTTAAAGAAAAATACGGTATATTAACCTGGAGTTTGGCCATTGTAAGTGGACTATTGTTTCTGTGTGTCATTGCAAGTGCCGTGTTTCTTGTGCGAAAACAACGTCTTTATACACAAGCAAACTAAAAGTCAATAGTTTAATGATGTAATGTCATTGCATGCTTTCAACGGATATAAAATTATTACTTTGATCACTTGCGCTGATAACTTATTCGTCACTGAAAGACATCCTTGCATCATTTGTGTGTTATCCCTATGTCTGTTCTCATAGATTTCGCCATATTGTATTTTCTCATAAGTATTTCCACACACAGAAGTTTCAAAAAAGGTTAATATGAACAGAGAAGAATTCAGTGAGAGACACATACCCTCTCATCAATGTATCCATATTAGTGCTTTGTTATGAACTGCCACTGAATCATGACAGAAACAATGCAATATAGTTACACGAAATATAAGCGACAAAACCCCTTCCACAAGAGACCATATAATAGAGGGACGGCCCTCGAGCCAATGCGCAAAACCATCAGCGCTACGGCTTGTACTGCGGAGCCGATCCGGAAGCTGGCGAAAACGTGTGTTCACTTCAGTCATCGATTTGGCGTATTTTCATTGCAAAGGTAAGATGTTATTTTTTTTCATTTATTCTCATGTATATACTTATTTCTTCAACAGTGCATCTGAGGTTTATTAGGGGTGCTAAAGCATATATTTGTCTTTGCATTTGATGAATACTGTCATGTGTGCTCGTTGTTCTGCGAGAACAATGGCGGAGGTGTAAAATCGGCGAAAGTCCCGATTTTGATTTTCAATAAAGGCTACTAATACAATACAAGTCCTTAGTTACCGGGGTGTAATAAAAGCAGATAAGATAAGATTGGTCTAGTGGCATTTATAAGTCTGTGGCGGTCGCGTAATTCCTTATTTTGACTCCTTCAATGCGACGAAATATGATGTTTTCCGAAATATTTACTCCACAACACTTCATTTTCGCACGCTTTCACAAGAATAGTTTACTACTAGCATTTTTAAAATAAACATGTCAACATTCACGGCGATTTCCTCTTTTGCTTGGTACCAAATTTATATGGCTACGATGAGTATTTTATTTTTTATGATTTTTGACGTAAACCCATATTTGCGCCGTATACTCCACATTTCAATTACCTTGTAGCAGACGACATAACATTCCTTTTGTTTGTTAATATGACCCGAATATATATTTAAATCATTCTACAAAAATCTCATTCACCTAATCGGTTGAAAATAAATTTACTTTTATTGTGATGATTATGTTTGTAGAAAAGGTCCTTATTTTATCATGACTACAATTAATATATTTTTCTGTTATCATTATTCTTCCTAATGAAGTTTAATTATGAGTTTACCTGGGCTTAGACAGTACCAACAGCCTGTCGTATGCAACAATAAAAATGAAAAATGAACTCATTATTCAACATTTTAATTATATCATGAAATTATCATTTGTTTTGTAGATGCCCAGGAAAAAGAAACTTTTCATCGGCACTCATCGGAAGGGCTACTCAAAGAGCTTACTATTAAGTACAATATTATTATCTTGAGTAAGTAGATAGACCTTGTTTGAAAGAGCATTGAAATTTTTAAATTGATAGGGTAATGTAGTACAGCCCATAACACGAATATTTCATGGGCTCGGAGGAAAGTGACTTTAGTATTTAGTGGCTTCCCTTTGGAAAAAAACCCCAAATGTCTCCGTAACGGCCCAAAGTATAATCACTGCTAGCCCCAAACTGGCATTATAAAAACATTAACGCTCTTGGATAATGTGAAATCGTGTTTCGTTGGGACTATCAACTTTATAATATAAAAATATGCGAATAAACATAAAATTAGAATCAGAGACTAATAGCGTCATTTAGTGAAACACCAGCCAGTCACAGGCCCTCGTGTCTTTCAGAGGATTAATGATTTTAAAAATATTGTTTTTGAGATGACACCCCGACTCGAAATGCTTTACAGTACAATACATAATGACAAGGCCGGACACTTCTAGGGTGCACCCTACCCGACTGCGTTGCCGATCGCTACGCTACCATCGCATGCAATCGATTAAAACTTCATGTAAACATAATCATGGATGATTGGCCCATCGAGCAACACTCATGACACCTACCAATTCTTTATTGTTATTTCTGCAAGTCGATTGAAAACCGATTTTGACTCTCAACTAAACGATCTTGATACAAATGGATGACGATATGTCCGCACACAACAGGGGTGTGGTCGAAGCAAGTCCTCTGATTGGCCAACGCTTGCAAATCTGCACATTCTTTATAACTTCGCGGGAATTTTACTTTCATCGACTGCTTGACTTAAAATGTAAGAATTCTTTTTCCAGCAATGGCTTCTCAAAAGAAAGAATGAGTTGTAAATGTCTCCTTAACAAACATCAACCAACCAGAGGGCTTGCTTCGACCACACCCTGGTTTTGTGCCAACGAATACTTGCAAGTAAATCTTGAGATTAGCCATGTGATGATACGTTTAGCGAGCATCGGGGATATTGGCAACTGTAGTGTTAAAACTGCCTTTACCTGACTGGGTTAGTTTGATTTTTGTATTTTTGGTTTATATTCTGTGTCCTGTCGTAGTTTGTAAATTCTCCAAGTAAAGTATCGAGGTCCAAGTCGGAATCATCCCAGTGTTTGAATTAAGTCGTCCATGGCATGGCCATGCCGAATGTTTAAACAAATATTCCAGGCTTATGACGACACGCATTTCGCAAATGATACGTGTTCTGCTATGTTGTGAGTTGACATGTGCAAATGAGAGATAAGATAAAAATTAAGATTATTGTAATCAGTTTATTGGAGCTGTCCATGTAATGTTTAACCGTCAAACGCAGCCGGTGAAATCCCGCTAAGGGAATTAACTCTCGGCCTGGATATTACGCAATATTGTTTACGTGGTTACGAGAGTGCTCATTTGCGCATGTCTGCGCATCTGTTGCGCATGTGTACCGGTAGAGGGAAGTTAGCAGCAGGGTGTCGATGTGTATCAGTTACATGCCAGTCCCAGTCCACTGTGTCACGGGTATTTACCCGCACAAACGATGCTATTGTCCAACATATGAAACAAATATCATTCCCAAAGGCAGCATCCGACCAACGAGCCACCAAGGAATGCTTCTATAACATTGCTAGATTTCCAAAGGTGCTTGGGTGTATCGATGGAAGTCTTATCCCCATTATGCGACCCAGCGATGACGAAGAAGCTGTTTACGTGTGCAGAAAGGGTTTCCATGCCGTAAACGTTCAAGCTGTCTGTGACGCAGAACTACGGTACGGGACACTACTTAGAAACTAACTACTATAGCCCAAAACGTCCATATTTAATGCGTTATGCTTTCAGCATATGTATACTACCCGTATTCAAACATGATGGGAAATCATAATGTAAAACTTCGAAGGATACACACCTTGTTTACTCCATTAATGACCTTGACAGTGACCGGAGGTGCCACCTATTCGTTTTCATAACCAATCATTACGCAAGGCCCAATATGGGTTATGCCATGAGGTCCAAAAAAGGTTGCTATTGCCGTTTAGAAAGTAATTACATAACTTTTGTCAATAATGAATGCATGGTTGATGGAATAATTATAATTTTAATCCAAAGGTTCACAAGTGTGGTGTCAAAGTGGCCTGGGTCAGTTCATGACTCGTTTATGCTTCAAAACAGCAGCATTGGGCAGTTCATGGAGACGGCTGGGATTGACGGATGGCTGCTAGGTGATTCAGGGTAAGTAAATAAATAAAAAAATAAAATAAATAAATAAATAAATAAATCACATTAAACGTAGATTACAAATTTAAAGTTAAATGGAAGACAGCAATGTTTAATTCAATCAGGAAATGAAATTTTATTTCACCCTTTTATTATGTATTATTGTAGTATTCATGTTGACTTTATGTTATTAATGGTATGGCTTATTTATACTTTTTTATACTTTTCCATCAGATATGCCTGTCGCCCATGGCTGCTTACACCAAAAGTCAATCTAACCACACCTTCTGAGGATTGGTACAACACTGCTCACTGCAGAACCCGCAATACTGTGGAGAGGGCTTTTGGACTCCTCAAATCCAGGTTTAGGCATTTGCAAGTTCATACATTAATCTTCTAAAACTATTATAACACTATTTGAGATGCTCATATATTGGAAAGCTTACTTTTTGGCTAGTGACAGATTGAGATGTAATAATATAATACCAGCATAATGTAATATTATTAATACTCAAACTTCTCAGTAAATGAAAGACATGATCCGTCAAGAATACTTTAATTTATAAGAATAATTTGACTAGTAAAATTGGTCTTTATGCTGAACAAATAACAATGTTTTGTTTATAGGTGCCTACATAAATCAGGTGGCTGCCTCCCATTCAATCCAAAGAAATGCCATCAAGTTGTGTATGCAACCTGTCACTTACACAATTTCTGCATCAACCTCAGATTGCCAGCTCCTCCAACACTGGAAGACCTTACCCACGAAGATGGGATATCTTACCAGGGACCTCTAAATGATGGTTTCAAAGTTCGATGGTTTCAAAGTGTCATAAAAAACTGCTTTTCATAATCATGGTGTCATTGGGCACAATTTTGTTAAATAATAACAATAGGTACAAGAACAGTGTGTACTTACTTGTAAGTCCATCCACTTCTGTTTGACATCTTTGGTAAGTCTCTTGACCCCACTGTTTGCACTAATTCTTTTATAACAAATGTCAATGAACATTTATTAAAAAAGTATCCTTTATCTGTAAGAACGACAAGCGTTAATCTTGGTGTTTTGATATATCCATAGTGAGAGAGAGGGTGGGGTTGAACTCCGAATCAGAAATAATACATCCAGGAATTACATCGTCGAAAAGACGGATAGAGTGCTGTCCCTTTCTGCGAGTCAAAAATGGCTTCCAGTGTGACTGCAGCGTTAGCTCCTGACTATAATATCCTTTCCATGGACCTAATTCCTACAGACTAGTTTCTGAATTACCACCGTGCGGTGACAGGTTGGTGAGACAGGCCATAGATACATACATATAGTCACCGCCTCTATAGTTCATATGAATAAACTCGTATTCCAGCGAAGGCCTACATAGAGTTTATACGGCGAGTGCATTTTCTTTGACGCACCTTTCCGCAAGAAATTTGAGCGGAACAGTTTTAGGCAAAAACAAGAATGAAGACTCAACCTATCGACTAATGCATGTGCATGCATTACTAAAACAAACAATCGTCATCAAAATGAGACACTTACCTCCACTGAAATCGACTCACTTCATTACTAAATGACCTGAAACATAAAGACCCCCACCAACATTCCACCATTTGTCGACCATTTTGGTTATGGTAATTGGCAGTTGTATCAAAAAAAAAGGAATCGTATTAAACGGACCGTGATTACATGACGCTCTGAAGTCTGAGGAAGGGGGACAAAGTTTTAGCAGTTTCTATTTGTTCCTAAATACGTTTTAATGCGTTTCCACTTTTTATTCAACCGCTAATTACCATAACAGTATGGCCGACAAATGGTGGAAAGTAGGTGGGATCTCTATGTTTCAGGTCATTTAAGTAATAAAATAAGTTTTTTAGAGGACGTAAGTGTCTCGTTTTGAAGATGAATGAAAGTTTTATCAATCCATGCACATGTATTAGTCGATAGGTTGAGTTTCTACCCTCGTTTATGCCTAAATCCGTTGTGCCTCTCTGCCTAGTGAAGTGCGTCAAAGAACTTGAATTCGCCGGCTAGACGTCGAGCACACCTTGGTATAGTGCAAAGTCGTCTAGTTATATGCTGGACTACCGCCTCTAATACTTTCAACGGTACACCTACAGAATACCGGATACCTACCAACCATATTCTTTGTTAGCACGCGCACTTCCCATTATAGGGAAGCAGGAGCTATAAAATTCGAAAAAGTAAGCGAGCATTAAAATGAAAAATAACCATTAAAATCGGATTGATTGAGACGACTTCCGGTTAGTAAAACTAACCAACAATTTTTAAAATGAAAGGTAAGTTATCACAAATAAAAAATATTTGCGTCTTTGAAAAAACGGACCTACGGAATTCTGGGAGTTGGAGCGAATGAGCGTGGGAAATTTCTGAAAGGTTCAGTGATTGGTCAGTTTGTGTCTACGTCATAGCCTAGTAACGGCCATATTTGGAAGTCTACAACTACTACTCGGCGTTCGGAAGATGCGATTGTGGGATGTATTCAAGTTATCGGAAGACAAAGTAGAACTTCATCGATTTTTAAGAAACAAGGGACTTTTTTGGAAACTGGGACGGGAAAACATGCGGTAAATGTTGTATTGGGAAATTTTATTTGTGTAAAGATCAGTCTAAGTAAACTTAGCCTCAGTATTATTCGTTACCCTAGAGGAGTGTAACGAATAGTACTGAGACTAAGTTTACTTAGACTGTGTAAAGATAAAAGCTACAGCAAAGACAATTTGTGTCGGAAATGTAGCAACAAATCGTGCTGCAAAAAAGCTTTCTATTTGCCACAATTCTTGGTTTGAAAAAAGCAAATTAGATTGTGGCAAAATTCTATTGCTCACATATTGTTGGATTTTCAAGTTGTCTCAAGATTTTGTACGTCGGGAACTAGACATTTCGTCTTGCAACACCTCTGTAGACTGGTACCACTTTTGTCGCGAAGTGTGTGTTGTTGTAGCAGATTATGATAGTGGTAGGATCGGTGGGGAGGGAAGAATAGTGGAGATTGACGAATCAAAGTTTGGAAAAATAAAATTTAATCGGGGAAAAAGGGTTGAGGGTCAGTGGGTTCGGGGGAATCGATCGGGAATCCAAAGACTGTTTTTTTGCATGTGTGGACAAGCGTGACCCTGAGACACTAATTCCGATAATAAAGAAATACATCAAACCAGGCACCACAATAATAAGCGATTGCTGGAAAGCCTATGACTGCTTGAAGCATGAAGACTTTCTCCACTTGAAAGTGAATCACTCGATCCATTTCAAGGACCCCGAGACGGGAGCACATACTAACACCATTGAGTCCTCTTGGGGTGCCTTGAAAAGATCTCTTCCACGATCAGGCACTATTTAGGGGTTGTATTCGTCATATTTTGAAGAATTTTGTGTACGAAGGAAGTACTTGAGAAACAGGGTGGACATGTTTATAGCTTTCTTGGAGCTTATCAGTCGTGTATATAAACCCCATGACAGAGATGATGAAATTGTGCATGTGAGACGCCCCTTCGCTCCCCTGCAACCCGATGCTGACGACAGTGCTGACGATTTCGTTCTGTGAAGGTAAGAATCATATCTAATGTCTAATCTAACCCTAAACCCTAATGTCGTAATGTCGAGTATGCAACATAAACAAAACGCCGTTACTAAGGAACTCAGTTGCGCACATTTTGTGCGCAGTTCTAAAATAAGCTTTCAAAGATGGCGGAAGGTATCTGGTATTCTGTAGTCTTGCCCTTTCAACCTAGCCGAGAGCCGCGATCCGGTCCTATACAGTCAAGACATGACCCTGCATCCCATGCCTTTTTCTTCATGATGTTTGTTCGTGAATGACGAAAATAGTAAGTTTGTTTTTGCCTTGACAAATTCCACGAGAAGTCTGAACTCTGTGGGTCCAGTTTTTGTTCCTCTGGCGCTTGATGATGGCTGACAATTGACTGGAATTCATGTCGGTGTGTTGGTGACACGGCATGTGTTGTCTGCTAACCGAGTGCAGGGATTCCCCTGAAGTAATGACGTCATTGGGACACACACACACCATATTCGTCGCCTCCTCAGCAGGAGAGCGACGATCTTTATTTACGACAATGCTCGTAAGATAATGAATTTACGAATGGATTAAGAACACTTTGTGGATTGGTCGTAAAAATTAGTAAAACTCTTATTTTCGATCGTAAAACCTTACGAATAACGTAGGCTACGAACACTTTGTGGATCGGGCCCCAGGTGTTCGCGTAAAGGTGAGCGTACCCTGCCCCACCGGTAGCACCCGTCATAAACATATGCCAAGTCTAGTCATTTGTTCACCTGAAATAATTCGGGAACGTGTGGTATAAGTCAAAATAGATACTTGACATCATTTTTTGTCACTGATGCATTAAATTTGGAAATTTCCTCCACATGTCTACCATAAAACTTCTTGAAAGCTTTACTGAGGCATTGAATGTTGTAACCTTGATTAAACAACCTCTGAGCAAGATTGGTATGATATAAAGAGCATGTTCGATTGTACCTTAGAAGTTGTAAAAGGTAAACACAAAGGCTGGAGCTGTTGGAATATTGCTCGACATGAACTGGAAGTTGACTATTGGAAAGTTGAAATCATCACTTTTGTCATACAGCTTTGTGGAGATGTTTTTGTCACACTGAATCTTTATGCATAGATCTAAATATGAAACAATGTAGGCGGTCTCACTTGTCTCCTTAATTTCATGTTCAGGTGGGTAAATCAGTGGAGGGGAATTCGCTGTTTGATGGTTATTGAACGATATTAAATCATCGATGTACCGGAAGCTTAAATTAAACTTCTTTGCCAAATTACCTTGTTTTGATTTTGCCAACCCAAGCAGAGGGGGGGAGCACAATTGGTACCCATGAGGATGCGACCTTCTTGGTGAAATGTTTAACACCTGGAATTTCACAAAGATATTATCAATGAGAAAGTCCTGCATTTCACATACAAATGTACATGTATTGTTTTTTCGGTAAACTTCAAATGACATTTGCTTTCATTTTGGACAAATTGTCCTGAACCTCTGAAGATAGATATGTAGGTATATATGTGTTCACCACGTTTGTTTACAGGTCTGAAGTTTGTTATGTGGGGTAGTGGTATACAATGTTGAAACATCAAATGTTTTGATAGACCTCGACCTGTTTCTGAGATTCTACAAAATGTAAGCAAATCCTTTGAGTTTTTGAGAATCCACATTGTTTTAATTCCACTTGTCTCAAACATTTTCTGTGAATATCGAGAAAGTCAGTATAGTATTAAGGATTATAGTTTTGGAATCCAGTACAAAAGAGGAATGGACATGTTTTCAGGTTTTACAGTCAAATCAAACACATTTCACCAATAAGTCACACTTCCATTTAATGATACATAAAACACAATGAGTCGTGTTTTGTGTAATGTTCTGCCTGTTCAAGCAATGTACAGTAATATATCTAAATAACAGTTTACAAACAGTTGGAATAAATATTTTGCATTCCGTTAGAGTATCATAATACAAACACGTTCTTAGTTTTTTAATATACCATTAGATGTAATTGCCACATTAGTAGTGCACTGACCTAGTTGTAATGTTTACTGGCACTGCATCAACAAGAGTATATCTACATCATCGGTCTTAATGTGAGCTGAGTCAGAGAGGACTATCGTTCAGATATTGAAGGTTCCGGTATCCAGCTTAAACATGTCTTCCTTTAGGAGAGTGTTTGTCGGTGTTTCTTACTTGGCAACAATAGTGATTCCATTTCAAGCTGAGGAATTCGTTGTACGGGATACCCTTTATGGTCGGATCAGAGGCCTCTTACGTCGAGCACGGGTAACTGAAGATCAATTCTAACCCGAATCTTCACGGGTACTTCTCAAGAAGGAACGAGTCTGAGGTATATCAGTGATTGAAAACTCGTTTCTCTTTCAAGCTACACTGAGGCCTTTCGTCCCTGGATTCACAGCAGAGGCCATTATTAAAATAATATACCATTATCACAATAAGTCATGTTTATTCTCACGAAGATGAATGAATGACATAAAAATATCCGAATGTGTTTGGTAAATGTATTTGTAAAATAGAAGTTTGGCATTCCGATGGGTAATCCTAGTCAAAGAAGCATTGTCATGAAATAGTGTCTAGTAGCTTGTACCTGACATTTGATGTAATTGTCACATAAGTGGTGTTTCTATCAGGCTGACCCAGTTGTGATGCTTATTAGCACTGCATCAACAAGGCCGTATTCCCTATCTGCCCATTCAATGCGAATTTGAAGCAGCGAGAACAGTGGAATAGTTTAGAGACACTGACGGTTCCGGAGTCCATCCCAAAAAAATGTTTAGCTTATGGACAATTTCTGTTGTTGTTTCCTACTTGGCAACAATAGTGATTATATCCCAAGCCGAGGAATTCGTGATACGAGATACCCTTTATGGTCGGATCAGAGGCACTGTTAAAACTGTGCTGGGTTACAAGAAGGTTGAACGATACCTGAGCATTCCCTATGCAGCACCTCCTGTAGGAGAACTCCGATTTGAGGTGAGATGTAAAACAGGTGTATGAATGGTATGACCCGAGGGCTGTATATCTATGTCATATCATTACTATTTGGTTAACATTAAGAGTACAGTGGGTTTGATTCATCCTGCCACACTTATTCTTCCTGTTTCGGATATTTTTTAAATTTTTCGCCCGAATCGTATGTGGGTAAGTTTGATATGTTCCGCGTTAGGTGACATGATAACATTTTTTAACCACTATCTTCAACTAATCACATTTGAAGCAAAACCCTTTTGTTCTGATGTTTTGATTAATATTTTTTGATAGTTACGATTGGTTCAGCCTGTATCTGTCTACATCTCCCTTAAAGATGCCTTGTATACTTTAATAATTTTAAGAAAACAAATCTGTCAAAATCACAAACGTGAAAATGATGCTATAAATACAGCCAGTGCATATTTGTTCTACAGAACCCTGAGAAACCAACTACATGGAAGGTATATACGAAACACGGCAGTGCTTCCCCCTGCCTGTCCCCAGATATCCTCACACTGGGATTACGTGTATTCACACCGTCCTGGATTCAATGACAGCGACGAAGACTGTTTATACATGAACATGTATGTTCCGCAGGTACGTTCACATAACCAGTATCGTTCAAGTTAATATTGGGTCAAATATTCTCTTTAAAATGAAAACAGAAAATATGGGAAAATATTTGCCTAAAGTCTGAGCATAAAAGTAAAGATCGCTTGACATTTGAGCATTGTAATAAAATGTCTAGTTTGTGAAGTAATGGCAATATCAATGACAGATTCCTCAAAGGAAGATACCGCCATGACTTGAGAAGATATCAACTGGTTGTTGTTTAACGCCGCACTCAGCAATATTTCAGCCATATGGCGGTCTGCAAATGGTCGTGCTGGACCACACAATCCAGTGATCAACAGCATTATCATCGATCTACGCAACGATGCCATGTTCCGAGCCACTTTTATTTGCGTTTTTCAAGTATAAATATATACTCTGCAAAAAAAGAAACGCACAGGTGAAAACTCAGGAATGTAAACACTTTATTTTGTTTCCAAATAAAACTTTAACTAATGATCGCACGAACGTAAAATTTCACATGGATGTTGTCAAGATGCAGCTTTACAACATGCAGCTATCATTTGTCTCTGAAACCATTGCACCGGGCGTACAGATGGCGTGGAGGTCAGTACCTGTTGTGACCACCTCGAGCTTGCAACACAGCTTGGCACCTCCTGTCCATGGACATGATCAGTCTTTGAATCCGTGCTTGGGGGATCCTCCTCCATTCCTCCTGCAAGGCTTGAGACAGTTGTTGCAACGTTTGGGGTTGAGGCTGACGACGTCGAACGCGTTTCCCAAGCTGGTCCCACAAATGCTCTATTGGGTTCAAATCAGGGGGATTTTGAAGGCCAGGGAAGAACTGTGATGTTCTGATTCGTCAGGTAGTCCATCGTGATGCGAGCCACGTGCGGTCTGGCGTTGTCCTGTTGGAAAACGTGACGTTGAGGGTTGATGACAGGTAAAAGATGACGTTGCAGAATTTCATCCCTGTAACGAATTGCAGTCAGGTTACCACGGACGTGCACCAAGTCACTTCTCCCGTTGTAAGAAATGGCCCCATACCATCACACTTCCCCTCCAAATCTGTCCGCTTCAACTACACAATTACGGGCGTAACGTTCGTTTCTCCGTCTATAGACCCTCGTCCTACCATCGTGTCTTTGAAGTTGGAAACGAGATTCGTCGCTGAACCAAATTCGCTGCCAATGTCTCCAATTCCATCTCTGGACGTTCCTGCACCATCGAACACGTGCCAGGCGATGATGAGGGTCGTAGTGTGCATCCTACGTGCAGGTCGTCGAGGGCGTATCCCACGTGCTGTCTGAGGCGATTTCTGATGGTCTGGGCGGAGACGCGGCGAAGACCTGGGACGTTCTCTGCTGTTTGTGTTGCTGGGACGGCCCGGTTACGTAAATGGAACACCCGGATGTAGCGGTCCTGTGCAGCATTGGTTACCCGTGGTCTACCACTCCGAGGTCGGTCGCGGTCGAGCCCAGTTGATTGTAGCGCCTCCATAAACGGGAAATTGTTGTGTGATGCACGCTTGAAGTGTCTTGCAACTGATGACTGAGATTCGCCAGCCTCAAGACGTCCGATGGCGATGTTCCGGTCAGCTTCGCTAAGTCGTGGCATGTTGAATTCGTCAGTAAACTGGCGTTGAAAGTAAATTGAACACGTTAAACTGCCTTCCTCATATACCCTACACACTGGTGCATAGGTGAAGCAACTTTCACGTGCATATCGTTCGAAGTGTCATTTACACGTGAAAATTTCATGATATTTTCAAAAACCATCATCAAACAACAATATTTCATGAAATGGTGTGTTTGAGCGATACTTAATGGATATGAACAAGTATACATTATGTTTGGTTAAAGTAACCGGGTTTTGTTTGCATAGAAATAAAATAAAGTTAATTTTAAATTTCATTATCACCTGTGCGTTTCTTTTTTTGCAGAGTATATTTTGAAAATAGCAGAAACTGAGAGTGCTAGGGACACTGATAAGGATTGCTTCGGGAAATCGTAGATCGACTTTACGCTTCATTAATTATCTGATATAATCATATACTGACTATTTTATGTATAGAAATGTTTTCCTTTTCCATCTTTTCACTGTAAGTATTATTATCGAATGCAGCAAGAATGCCATTGAGAAGATGTTGGTTTGACTGAAGAATATTCGTGTTTTCATACAATGGCTTCTTTTAGTAGCACCTTAAATGTGTACTCAGGCGTAAATGTTTGACACATATTGCGGTGATTTGATGATTGCCTGCACTATATGAAGAAATCCAGCATACTTTTACTCATCATGAACTTTCTGCATACACTTTCATTAGAATAAGGATCTACTCTGATGAGGTATAGGACCACAAACACATCTTTGATGTTGGTTTTAAAATGGCAAATAATTACAATAAGATTTTTGCCAGCGCTTTCCTTTGACCTTTCTTCAGTGAGCATCAATAATGGATGGACAATTCATATCTATTCAATACTCAAAGAATGAATCTATATTTTGCTACAGAGTAAACTATCACCATTAAGTATCAGCAAACTTTTATCCTAAATCTGAAATGAAACAATATTTACATGAAATATTTTGTTGATGTTTTCTATGACAATGTCCGAAATATCATAACCATTATGTGAAAGCATCACTGCATATACTGTTTCATCAAACTTGACATCAAAAGATGCTACACGTAAGAACCGTGTGGTCAGTGAGACAGCAAGGTACTACGCATCCGTACAATCACCTTTCCATCGTGACATTTCCAAAAGAAGGCTATGGCATTGTCATGAAATAGTGTCTAGTAGCTTGTACCTGACATTTGATGTAATTGTCACATAAGTGGTGTTTCTATCAGGCTGACCCAGTTGTGATGCTTATTAGCACTGCATCAACAAGGCCGTATTCCCTATCTGCCCATTCAATGCGAATTTGAAGCAGCAAGAACAGTGGAATAGTTTAGAGACACTGACGGTTCCGGAGTCAATCCCAAAATGTTTAGCTTATGGACAATTTCTGTTGTTGTTTCCTACTTGGCAACAATAGTGATTATATCCCAAGCCGAGGAATTCGTGATACGAGATACCCTTTATGGTCGGATCAGAGGCACTGTTAAAACTGTGCTGGGTTCCAAGAAGGTTGAACGATACCTGAGCATTCCCTATGCAGCACCTCCTGTAGGAGAACTCCGATTTGAGGTGAGATGTAAAACAGGTGTATGAATGGTATGACCCGAGGGCTGTATATCTATGTCATATCATTACTATTTGGTTAACATTAAGAGTACAGTGGGTTTGATTCATCCTGCCACACTTATTCTTCCTGTTTCGGATATTTTTTAAATTTTTCGCCCGAATCGTATGTGTGTAAGTTTGATATGTTCCGCGTTAGGTGACATGATAACATTTTTTAACCACTATCTTCAACTAATCACATTTGAAGCAAAACCCTTTGGTTCTGATGTTTTGATTAATATTTTTGATAGTTACGATTGGTTCAGCCTGTATCTGTCTACATCTCCCTTAAAGATGCCTTGTATACTTTAATAATTTTAAGAAAACAAATCTGTCAAAATCACAAACGTGAAAATGATGCTATAAATAAAGCCAGTTCATATTTGTTCTACAGAACCCTGAGAAACCAACTACATGGGAAGGTATACGAAACACGACAGTGCTTCCCCCTGCCTGTCCCCAGATATCCTCACACTGGGATTACGTGTATTCACACCGTCCTGGATTCAATGACAGCGACGAAGACTGTTTATACATGAACATGTATGTTCCGCAGGTACGTTCACATAACCAGTATCGTTCAAGTTAATATTGGGTCAAATATTCTCTTTAAAATGAAAACAGAAAATATGGGAAAATATTTGCCTAAAGTCTGAGCATAAAAGTAAAAGATCGCTTGACATTTGAGCATTGTAATAAAATGTCTAGTTTGTGAAGTAATGGCAATATCAATGACAGATTCCTCAAAGGAAGATACCGCCATGACTTGAGAAGATATCAACTGGTTGTTGTTTAACGCCGCACTCAGCAATATTTCAGCCATATGGCGGTCTGCAAATGGTCGCGTCTGGACCACACAATCCAGTGATCAACAGCATTATCATCGATCTACGCAACGATGCCATGTTCCGAGCCACTTTTATTTGCGTTTTTCAAGTATAAATATATTTGAAAATAGCAGAAACTGAGAGTGCTAGGGACACTGATAAGGATTGCTTCGGGGAAATCGTAGATCGACTTTACGCTTCATTAATTATCTGATATAATCATATACTGACTATTTTATGTATAGAAATGTTTTCCTTTTCCATCTTTCACTGTAAGTATTATATCGAATGCAGCAAGAATGCCATTGAGAAGATGTTGGTTTGACTGAAGAATATTCGTGTTTTCATACAATGGCTTCTTTAGTAGCACCTTAAATGTGTACTAGGCGTAAATGTTTGACACATATTGCGGTGATTTGATGATTGCCTGCACTATATGAAGAAATCCAGCATACTTTAACTACTCATGAACTTTCTGCATACACTTTCATTAGAATAAGTATCTACTCTGATGAGGTATAGGACCACAAACACATCTTGGATGTTGGTTTTAAAATGGCAAATAATTACAATAAGATTTTTGCCAGCGCTTTCCTTGACCTTTCTTCGGTGAGCATCAACAATGGATGGACAATTCATATCTATTCAATACTCAAGAATGAATCTATATTTTGCTACAGAAAGTAAACTATCACCATTAAGTATCAGCAAACTTTTATCCTAAATCTGAAATGAAACAATATTTACATGAAATATTTTGCTGATGTTTTCTATGACAATGTCCGAAATATCATAACCATTATGTGAAAGCATCACTGCATATACTGTTTCATCAAACTTGACATCAAAAGATGCTACACGTAAGAACCGTGTGGTCAGTGAGACAGCAAGGTACTACGCATCCGTACAATCACCTTTCCACGTGACATTTCCAAAAGAAGCAGGTAACTTCATTAGCATAAGTTGTCTGCCCCCACCCACACATGCATTTCTGTTTAAATTGGCAGATCTTTTACTTGTGATTGCATTACACTATTATTCTTTAGCCAATGAAATGTAGTTGATTTTAATCTATTTTATGTTGGATAAGGCATTTCGGCTAAACTGCCAAACCCAAATCAGCAAAATGTTTCATCCACTACTTTTGTGTACATAAACACAATCATTTGTTTTCTAGACAGTAGTTATACATAATGCATTATATCTGTTGATAAGATTGCAAAAGATGACAGTAAGATCGCGGTCCTTGTTCACGTCCATGGTGGCAGCAACCTGGCTGGCATGGGAGCCATGTTAGATATGGACATCTTGGCAGCACAAGGGGAGATCATCGTCATCAATTTTAACTACAGACTGGGTGCTCTCGGTATGTAAAAGTCTAGAATGTTTACCTTTTCCTAAAACACTGATAATAACACAAATAAGCATGGACGTATTCTGAAACTCATACTGACTTCATATTTAGGTATTCAGGGAATATTTAACATTTTCAGAAATCTCAATTGTATATTACAGGTTTTCTAAGTGGTGGACAGCCAGAGTTTCCAGGAAACTATGGTCTGCTGGACCAAACTGCAGCGCTACAATGGGTTTCTGAAAACATTCAATTCTTTGGAGGTGATCCAAGCAAGGTTACCGTCGAAGGACACAGTGCAGGGGCCGCAGATGTTGGCTACCATATTGTGTCACCACTGTCAAAAGGTACATATTAGATACTAAGACAAAGGCGCATTGCAAGGAGTTTAGTTTCTTTTACGTTGATGTTGCACTGAAAATTCGAATGATCAATTTCAGGATTATTCCGTTTCGCCATCATACAAAGTGGGTCACCAACTGCCCCTTGGGCACTCCAATCTCAACCTCGAGAGCTTCTTTCCAAGTTCAGCGAAGAGCTCGGTTGCAACAGTTCCAAGGATCTGCAGAAACTTAAGCAGTGCTTAAAGACGAAGAAATGGACAGACATAAGGGATGGACCTTACAGGTCAGATGTGAGTTTTGCGATGACCTTTGTATGCACTTGTTCACTAATTAAGGTAATGTTATGCAATGTTAATATTCTTTCTTTGAATATGTCCCATTCAGACAGTTTGTCATGAACTACCTTTTCGTCTGATGTTTGTATGCACCTGTTCACAATGTTAATATTCTTTATGGGTATATGATCCATACGGATAGTTTTGTCATGAACTACCTTTTCGTCTGATGTTTGTGAGGTCTATTAAAGTCTATAAAGGTTTTATGCATTTCCAGTGTGTTCCTTCGGGCATGTGTTTGTCCCCAGTCATTGACGGATTCTCTGTGGAAAAGAACGCGGACATTCTGTTTAAAGAGGCTGAACTGAATGGGGAAGCCTTTATGGCTGGAATAACAAGGGATGAAGGTATGACGTTACATGGCTAAATGGTTATCAAAGATATTTTGATTGTTTTGCCATGTCCTGGAATCTTTTGCTAATTTCGTGGATCAGCAAACACTAAGCAAAGTCTATGTTCAACCCCGAAAGGTTTTCAGAGAATTAAATATTAAACTCTAGAACGATACAAGAACCAAGGAACTGTTTACGTGTTTTACTTGAATAGTGCATTTGTGTTTTACCCGATGGTATTGAAAACAAAATTTAAAAGGATCATGTAATACATTAAAAAAGCGACCTGCCACTGGCTGAGCAGGAAATGCTCACTTTTACACAAATACCTGCATCATAAGATTCGATTTAAGGGCATTATTGATTTAGATATGTGTTGATTCTGTCATCCTTCAGGGAGGTTTCCTGATATCGTCCATCCCAGTATGTTGGTAACGCCCAAAAATGTGAAACGCTTTATTAACAATAACATCGATTTGGGTAAGTATCTTATATAATAACTGAAATCTTTTAGACTGATTTTAACGAAGTTTATGTATTGAATAAAAAGTTAATGAAAATGTTACCCATAGGTCTTAAAGTGATGACGTACAATCGTGTTGACCGAAAGCAGGTTGATAATTTTCTGTACCGAACATAGAGTCATTATTTTATTCAGGTTGCAAGCGAGAATCCTTTGTTTATTAGTATATGTTTCTTTATACACTGAACCGCAAAAAACGTCACTCCCTTTTTGAAATTGGTAATCAGTTTAATTCAAACACATGTAAATAACATAATAATTGTCGGAAAGATTTCAAAATGGACATGTTTGATAATCAATACTTAAAGACGAATTTCAGACAATGACAAGTCAAAATGACGACTGGTGGCGCGACAGTGCGATCCGAAAGTCAATAACGTGTATGGCCACCTTGCGCGTTGACAACAGCGTTGCATCGTTTGTACATGGAGTGGATGAGACGGTTCATGAAGGCCATAACTTGCGACCATACTCGGTGATACGCCTGAGAGAGTTCAGCTGCAGTTGTCGGCCTTGGTCGCACATCATTGAGCCTCCTCTGAATATCGTCCCACAAGTGTTCTATCGGGTTTAAGTCTGGACTGAGGACAGGCCATTGAAGAGTTTGTATGCCGTGTTGACGGGGAAAGTCTCTAGTTGACCTGGCAGTATGGGCACGCGCGTTGTCATGCTGGAAGACGTGGTTTTTTCCATTACTACCAAAATATGGCACGCCGAAGAGTCACAGGGCTTGATCAATGTAGCGGGCAGATGTTACACCATTTCCTCTACCAGGACCAATATTCTGGAAAACCATAGGGCCTAGTTTGTGATTGAGAGCAATAGCACCTAACACCATTATGCTCGGACCTCCCCACGAGTGTCTTTCCAAGACACAAAACGCTCCCCGCGTCGTCGCCACACTCTCACTCTGCCATCAGCCGTTGAGATGCAATATCGGCTTTCGTCGGAGAAAACTACAGTTCGCCACTCCCGGTGACGCCAATTCCAATGATGTGTGGCCCACTGGAGATGAGCACGACAATGTCGAAGAGTGAGGCTCGGACCCGGTAAGGCCTGCGACACTAGCATTCAGTCTTCCTAAAGCTTGGTCCCTCTGTTCCCTTGATAATCGTGGCATGTCGCTACTGTCGAGCAGTGAATAATTCGGTCCATGTTCGGTGGCTCTTCTTATAGGGATGACACCTCGAGATGCACGTGCATTGTCATTTTCATGAAATACGCACAAAACCCTCGTTCCATCATTACTTTAGTAACTGCATTTTGACGACATGTTTTTTGTATCAAATACAGCATCTGAAACCAAATTTTCTTGGACATTGGCTACGAACCAGGTCTAGCGAAAATATGAATAGTGAAAAATTAATTAACATTCAGAAGAAACATATCTGGCAACATTTTTGGTAGGGTGACGTTTCTTTTGCGGTTCAGTATATGTATTTGTTTGTGTAGTGACATAATAAACCAACAGAACTGATACAAATGAGTGTGGAAAATAATATACCGTTACATTTGAAATTAGGTTTCTCTATTTCCAGTTACAAGCAGTATCATTGCACACGAGTACTACCCTTGGAATGACGCTCTGGACAGGAAAGCTACTCTTTATGCATTCGGTGATGTAAGTATGCACTAAAACTTTAAGAAACGACCCCACATATCCCGTTAGCAAGAGCGCCCAACCATTTCTCTATGGTGGCATTATGGTAGTTTATAATCGTTCGTTATAGTCCACAAACGTTAACCAAAGCCGGAACCTCAACATCAAATGACACATGTCAACGTATTCAAATTATGTATGCAATGCTCACGGTGTTGGTCACTTGTCTGGTCCAGACTCGATTATTTACACACCACCACTTGAATATAGCTGAGTTCGGTGTTAACAAACAGACAAACAAACCATACCAAGGCAGCTCCTAGCTGATATCTATCTATCTATCTATCTATCTATCTATCTAAAGCAGTTAAATAACGTGATTACATACATCGAATTTAGGCTACACTCATTGATTCTATAGGGTTCTACTCAAAGCCGGCTAGATTATCGTTGTTTATAGTCAGCTGCTGCTCTCTTCCAGATTTGGGGCGATAACGACATAGCTGCTCCAACCTTCGATATAGCTACACGTCTCGCTGCCAGGACGGACAACATCTACTTTTATTCCTTTGATTATGCATCACCTTCTGCCAAGGTGCAAGGTACGTACGTTGTTGACATTGATGTTGTTAGGTGAGGGGTGTATATGTGCTTTTCAGTATCATGTGATTGTGATTGTAAAATATGAATGATTATGGATAATACTTGAGAGTGAGTGTCAGTGTAAGTGGTTCTGTGAGTGGCTGAATAAGTGATTGGGGTTTAAAACCGCATTGGAAGCTGATATGATCTATTTATAACCCACGAGTGCTTGAGTGAGTTTAGTTTTACGCTGCTTTTAGCAATATTCCAGCAGTATCACGACGGGGGACACGTGCAATGGGCTTCACACATTGTACCATGGAATGAAGCTAGGGTCTTTGGCGTGATAAGCGAAGGCTTTAACCACTAGGCTACTCCACAGCCCCTTATAACCAACGAGATTTGCATTAAATGACACATTTGGACATATGACATTTATCTGACAAGGCTCAAGGTACGTTTGTTGTTGACATTGATTTTGGTAGGTGAGAAGTGTACATTTGCTTTTCAGTGGGACCGATTTGGGTTGCTAAATATGTAATATTATGGACAGTACACGTGAGAGTGAGTGATTGTGTGAGTGAAATAGTGATTAGAATTTAACACCGCAATATGATAAGATCTGTTTACAACCCACGAGATCTGCATTATACAACATGCATTTTTTGAACAAATAGGTAACACAACAAGTGGAAGAAAGGCTGAATATATTCCAAATAGTTTTATTGCAGAGTCTACATGTATTTGCAAGCGTTTTCCTCTGTTTACGGTGAATTATATTCTCATCAATAACTATATTACGTTTGGTAAACATTAATTTACCTGTTTGATAGTGGTTCACAGCAGTATGTGGCCATGGTTATGTTGTAGTTGTACTAGAGTTTCTTAACCATGGTGATGCTCTAAATCATGCATTCTGATTAGCAAAATTAAGATATCTAGGACGAAGTTCATTGCGACTGAACACTATTTTCTTTCTACCTGTAGCTGTCATTCATGGACGCGACCTGTTCTACCTGTTCGGTTCTCCTTTCTCTGGACATCCCCTGTACAACTATACGGAGGAAGATCGTCAGGTCAGCAGAGTCTTCATGAACATGTGGATCAACTTCGTCAAGACAGGGTGAGGAAATGACCTCCAAGTCAAATATATACGTGCCAACGTTTTCCTCACCATGTTATTCTGACATGTACATAAACCAAAGGTTTCTTATTGCGTTTTCTCCTCTACTTTACTTAATTTACACATATCTCATACGACTCATATCTCCCTGACTTAGCTAACACATGGCGTCGTATCCCGATTGCGTAGATCGATGCTCATGATGTTGGTCACTGGACTGTCTGGTCCAGACTCGATTATTTACAGACCGTCACCATATAGCTGGAATATTTTCTCTTACCCCTTTGCTTCTGCTTTGCTTATGCTGATACATAATGTGAACTGGGACATGTATGAAAAGCGTCCCTGTTGTGATAGTTTAGGATAATGAACATGACTAGCATTCATAAAGTTGCTTTAAATTTAATAATAAATGTCAGTGTTATGAATACATGTATTAACTGATGGTTAATTGCAAAATGTGAACATTATTTGACTCCTCTTTTCTTACAAACACGTCTATTTTTTTAGGAAGCCTTCGTTAACTGTCGAAACTGACCCAGTATACTTTCAACGGTTTGATAGCGAGATTCAAGCATACATGAAAATCGATGTGGTTGATGGGAAGACAACAATAAAGACAGCACACAAGCCTCGGCTTCGCCAGATGGCCTTCTGGAATAGTGTGCTGCCACAGATTATTGCTCTCGAATCAAAATCGATACAAAGTGAAAAAGAAAAATACGGTCTATTAACCTGGAGTTTAGCCATTGTGAGTGGAATATTGTTTCTGTGTGTCATTGCAAGTGGCCTGTTTCTGGTACGAAAGCATCGCCATTATTCACAAGCAAACTAAAAGTTAATAGTATGATAATATAATGTCATTGCATGCTTTCAACGGATGTAAAAAATATTACTTTGATTTCTTGGGCTGATGGTGTATTTGTCACTGAAAGACATCGTTGAATCATTTGTGTGTTATCCTTATGCCTGTTCTCATAGATTTCGCCATTTTCTCATAAATGATTTCCACGCAGTGAAGTGACCTGATCTCTATGCACAGGACCACACACCACCACAATACAATATATCATAAATGATTTCCGCTCAATGAAATGTCACAAAGGGTTTATGTGTTCCGAGAAGAATTCAACAAAAGACATATACCCCTCAACAACGTACACACATTGTTACAGTTTAGAACTTACTGTGATAACAAGCTTGTGTGTCCCCTGTAAACCAGCAACTTAAAACACAGACGAGTCTATAATATTCAATTGTCCATTTAATAAACAAGATTATAATGAATGACAGTACAGATTTCCAATACAATACTAGTGGATTACATTGTACAAGTATAAAATATTGGGTCACAAATCTAACATATCACCAAAGTATTGATACTCCCAATAAAGACGGATGTACTGACTGAAGATTGTTGACAGCTGTTGAAAGTTCAATGCAGACAAGGCCTCTTGAGTGGTGAAACATCGATCGATGTTAGCAGACAGATGAGCGTAAATCCAAAGTAGACCCCCCCCCACCCCCCCCCACCCACACATCATACAGTTCTAGAGAATTCTAGCAAATGCCACGCCATACCACTATCATTAAGAATCCCACCGTCTTCCACTGAAAATGACCCAGAAGCAAAACAAGAAGGGGAGGCAACT